TGCCTAGAATTATGATTATTTCACTCAATAGATTAATTAAACACATACATCCACTAACCTAAATAAGATAATGGTGAATACAATGTCCATCCTAATCCAAATAATGAACATCCTCCTAATATTTAACTTATCCAATTAATATCTAGAGTTGTGCATAAAGTAATTATTAATGATATAAGATTTCCCCTAGTAAAGATAACATCCATAGTTCCTAAAATCATACAAATAACCATATTTCCTATACCACTACCAAAGACCAGGCATTACCACTATAAAGATGATTATAAGTCCATGAATTGTAACACCACTAAGATTAACAGATATTCCTATATTAAAGATTGTATTGATAGTTCCAAACCTAATGAATATAAAACCTAATAGAATACCACATATTCCCATATAAAGTGCTAAAGTGTAATAATTTCTATCCTAACATCCGATGATTACATGCTACACTATAAAGATCAAGACATGCCATTCCTATAAAGTACGCCCCTAAGTTTATTAATCTCCCCATATTAACACTTCCCCTTATTACAGGATGGCTATTAATAGTTGAGTTAGTAAAGATGTTGTGCTTTCCATTGATTATTTCGTTCATTAACAGTTAATGATGTGTTTTATGGATCCCTTCTGTAGACCCTATATTCCTACTCTTTTCTTTCTTAGCTTAGTTAGTATAAAGTGGTTAATGGTTTTAAATAGGTGATGTTTTGTATCTAAAGATGATGTTTTATAGACGTCTATAATGTATCTTGTATTTCCTATCCTATGTTTGATATTCCTAGAAATGTGGAGTTGCGCAACTCTAAGTTTATATAATGGCCTTTCTGGTATTAATCTTTGACTTCCCTGTGTACTTTAGATCTTAAGGTTAGGTAATTAATGATTGCAGCAATCAATAGAGTGAGATTTGTAATTTAGTATTTTAGTATCTGGAATATTTTAAACCCTAACATTAAATGCAGAGTATAGAAAGTTCACAGTTACATGGTCCCGGGTTTCCTGGGAATAGGGAGTTCACCAACGACCGACACCCCTATCCCTATGTCTATGTGTAAGTGTAATTTAAATTTAAGGGTA